GAGGTGGGGGTGGGTCTTTTCTCCCAGGTAATCAGCAATAGGATGAGAGGTTATGGTCTCAAGGTGCACCAGGGGAGGTCAGGTTGGGTATTAGGAGAAATTTCTTCTCTGAAAGAGTGGTCAAGCACTCTGCCCAGGGCAGTGGTGGAGTCACCATCCCTGGAGATGTTCAAGAAACACGTAGATGTAGCACTCAGGGATATAATTTAGTGGGCATGGTGGTGATGAGTTGATGGTTGGACTGGATGATCTTAAAGGTCTTTTCTAACTTTAGTGATTCTGTGTTCACACTGGCAATGGGTTTGATTCCAGCATGAGAGTGAACAGGAATGTTCTGGGCTCCCATCCCTTCCCTATATATCTGTATTGACTACCTGTTGAAGAGAGCAAAGAACTGGCAGTAGAATCAAATCACATAAATAACTACTCCTACATCGCAGGGAACAATGTTCTGTCTTTACACACAGTATGTTCAGTATCCAACCTGCAGACTTTTATCCTAATTACTGAAATTTGCTTTCAAGAGACGTTCAGTTCCTTTCCATGGAGTAAAACATCTCTACAGAGCGCCACATCCTGAGTCTATTACAGACACTCAGCTATGAGTGAATTAAAAGAGGGCAAGTGCAAACTTGTCACTCACTCAAGCATCTCCTGTTCACCTCCCCTCCTCTTCCCAGGACTTGGACAAGTCTCTGCTCAACTCACCAGGGGAATAATGAAACTCTGGGTGAGCTCCAGGAGGTGCCGCCTCAGAAGGGCACTCTGGACTTCAGACGGGCGTTTCCGCTGAATCCCCTGCAAGCACAAGCGGCGCGTTCACTAATTATTATGCAGACAGACGCTGAATTTGCAAACACTGCAGCTCTAGGTAACCAGCCCAGAGCAGTCTGGAAAAAATGTACCACTCAAAACACATATTCCACTCTCTGGTTAAAGATATCCCTCACATTTCACTCCATAGAATCTGTTTTTTCAGGCTGGTTTTTTTGATAAGGATTATTCTCACTTAGGTTATCATTAGCACCAGCTAATTTAATTTATTTTTATTTATTATTATTTAATCCATAATAACAATTAAAATATTCTAAAACTGGCATGATAAGCATGTCCAAGCACACTTGACTAAATCATTACACGCTGTAAATTGCCTGTTCCTTTTGGAGAGTTTTATCTGTTTAAACCCAGCTGTTAGTATGGTTTTCCCATCCAGGGTGTATGTAGAATAGAGTGGAAACTTCTTACCTTTAGTAATCTTTTTATCAAAGTTTTGTCTTTGTGTAGAAATGTTTTATAAGAAGTATAGATTCCTAGATTGAAAAAAAAAAACCAAACCAGAAGTTAAAACTTTGTCCACCTATTTAGAGGAGGCTCTAGATTATACATTATTATACAGAGCAAGGAGAACAGAACTGAAATTCCTAGCACAGATCCTGGCAGCTCTGTGTGTGTGTATAATTACAAATAAATTAAAAAATTATGGAATTGCTAATGCAGCCAGTACTCACAGAAGGATTAAAGAATATTGAACCACCTCAAGGACCTTCTTATGCTAAGCTTATAGTGAGATAACTTACTGGAGTCAGCTTAGGGCTAGGCCTGAGCTGAACAGTTAGTGAAGTGACAGATAGCTGTATCTAGGTAAGCAAGTTCCTTTGATTTCCATCACATCTAAAAAGCAGGTATGCTAGATAAAATAAAATCAAGACATTTAGAAATTCTTCTGACACTAAAATAATTTGTTCACAATCTCAGAACAAAGCTGCACAGCTTTTCTGTATTACATGGGGGACACCACTCCAGAGCGCTGGGTAGCACATTATGAGAAGATGGAAACACCAAAATGTCCATTTCTGGAGATACAAAGAATAATATATGCAATGTTCACATGCCTGCAGAGCCTGCAAAATCCCCCACGTGGAAAGGTAAATAAAATGAAAAGGTGTCAGGCAAAAGGACTTACCTGGTTTTGTGTCTAGAGTTTTTAGTTTAGCTAGCTTCTTCACCTTAACTTGCTTGGGCAGGTCTCCTGTGGAAAGACATCAAATGATGAGTTCAGGCTCCGAATGTGCCCTCACAGCCACAGCACACACGTGAGAGACTTTGCACTCGAGAACATCCAGTCCTACACTTGTACATCTTGACAGGCTGAAAGAGTTGGGGCTGTTCAGCCTGGAGAAGAGAAGGCTCCAGGGAGACCTTCTAGTGGCCTCCCAGTACCTGAAGGAGCTCCAGGAAGGGTGGGGAGGGACTTTTCATAAGGGCAGTTAATGACAGAACAAGGGGAAATGGGTTTAAGCTGAAAGAGGGGAGGTTTAGATGAGATATTAGGAAGAAGTTCTTCACTGTGAGGGTGGTGAGACACTGGAACAGGTTGGCCAGAGAAGCTGTGGATGCCCCCTCCCTGGAAGTGTTCAAGGCCAGGGTGGATGAGGCTTTGAGCAACCTGGTCTAGTGGAAGGTGTCTCTGCTGCTGGCAGGGGGGTTGGGACTGGATGAGCTTTCAGGTCCCTTCCAACCCAAACCATTCTATGATTCTATGAAATCATAACCTGCCTTAACTCCACCCTCACATAAGCCTTCTCATCTGTTAACTTGCCTGCTAAAATTTTGGAACAGGAACGTGTTAAGGAGGCTTTGCAAAAATCCCAACTCCTCAACCTAAAGGTTTTCTTGGCTTCATAGACAATAATCAGGGTCTCTCTCCCCACCTCTCTGTTCTTCTCGATGCAATTTTCTCTCTCCTGCCCAGGAAAGACTTCTCTTTTTCTTAATGTTTCAGAAAAAAGCCACAGCAAGTTATCCTCTCAACAATTGGTCTTCACCATTGTTTGCGCTCATCCTGCACACCAGCTGAGTCAGCCAGCCTTCCCTTTGGTTTCTCAGCTCTCCCAGGGATGAAGATGTGTAAAATGATGGTGAGCACTGCAACTGCCACCTCACTACTAGCCCCTTACAAGGTCTAGCAGCACAACAGGACTTTGGTTCCACTCTTACCTGACATTCTGAGCTCCCCAACCCGAAGAATGTGCGGCCAGTGCTGGAGAGTTTTGATAAAGAAAGGGTTTGTGACTCCCACAACAATGTTTGGCCTAGAAAGAAGGGGGGGGAAAAGCAGAACAATGATAAAACCACAGGTTTTTTTTCACGTAGACAGTGGCAACTGGGTAGCAAGGGTCTACTGGCTACTTACGGAGCTTGTGTCCTGGTGGTATACTCCTTAAATTCACTGTCGTGGATGGTAAAATAGGGGCGGTAGTCACAGCAGTACCTCAGAGGAGCAAGGCAGCTGCAACAGGAGACAGAAGAGTTGCCATATAAACTTCACAGAGGAGGAATGTGTGTTTACAACAGGTTTGTGTCTCCTAGAGCAGTGTTTTGTCCTGCCAGAGGTAACACTTTGGAGGAGTTCCAGGCTTTTTTTTGCTGAAGTGGAGTTTAAAGCTGGGAAGACAAAGTTCCTCAGGGCTATGAACCATCAGGTCTCCCAACATGGGAGATTCACTTTTCTCTACTGTTGGTGGAGTATCAGCAAGGCTCTCTTGCTATGCTATTTTGTCTTACATGCTTTCATAGGAAAATTAAATCTAATTTTAATTTTAGGTTTAGAGGGGAGGTTTAGATGAGATATTAGGAAGAAGTTCTCCACTGTGAGGGTGGTCAGACACTGGAACAGGTTGTCCAGAGAAGCTGTGGCTGCTCCTCCCTGGAAGTGTTTGTGGCCAGGTTGGATGAGGCTTTGAGCAACCTGGTCTAGTGGAAGGTGTCCCTGCTGCTGGCAGGGGGGTTGGGACTGGATGAGCTTTAAGGTCCCTTCCAATCCAAACCAGTCTATGGTTCTATAACCAACTGACTTGGCAGAAGAGTGGATCTAAAAGAGAAAATCTGTCAGAATTTATTATTCTAGTTACCTGTATCTCAGAATTTGAAGGCATTACCTGGTAAGTGCCAGAACCATTTCTGATGAGACTGTAGGGGATGGTGCCATGACAACAATTGGCTCTCCTAGTAACATCAGCTCCCACAACATCTGGATGTGAATTAGCACTGGCTGGAAACACCTGAGAGTGAAAGGAAGAATGACAAGCTGAGGTTAGAGATGGCATTCAGAAAAGACCAGACAGAATTATTGCACATAAGCCTCTCCAGATGTGCTTCTATCTGGGAATTTGAAATCTAGGACTGATTTTCAGTATCCCACAACAGAATGCCACGTGTCTTTACACATGCTGTGTTTCAGTCATTTTATACACATTTAAAGGAAATGTTTTCAGCAGTCTAAAGCAACCTGCTGATCATGCTGCTCTCAGTATGTCTTTTCATCTCAGCAAAGTAAAATGCATGTGGATTACAGCAGATGTATGCCTATTATAATGATAAAAAGTTTGGTTCAGACACACTATGTATGTTTCAGAGCTTAAGGTGACCACTAGCTGAGGTCAAGAAAATAAACCCTCCTCTAAGTAGGATACAGGGGGTTGTGTTAAGGGCAGTGCACTCAGGTTTAACCACTGCACAAGGTCTGCAAAGCAGTAATTTTTGATGCTTCATTATCCCTATGATTTATAAGACACTCTGAGTGGGGAGAGGGGAAAGCAGATGGAGAAGAGAGGGCTGCAGGAATAGTGGCTCTCACCTGAAAAGATCCAGTTCATGAATACTGGGGAGAACCAGTGGAGCTGGCAACAGATTCTAAAGGAGGAAGGGAAAAAACCAAACAAACAAATCCAAAACTGTTAGTAAATGGAAACATCCCGACTGAAACACCATCTAAACTGACCACATCAATGACAAAGTAGCTCCTTCTACAACAAGCATAAAGAGAACAAGGTTAATGCTTAGAGATATGAGCCAGGAACAGATCTGGACTGAGCATTCAAGGTCCAAATTAATTTCCTTTGCTAGAAGATAGCCAAGAATCCCTCCTTTGCAAGATGTCAATGACCTCCCATGTCTGCTCCTTTATTTTCCAGAGTTTCCACTGGTGCAAGGCAAAGCTTAAGATATAGATAGAGACAATAAGGGTTGGTAATATGGGTACCAAAAGTTGTGAAAGATGACAACAGAGAAACAGGGAAAAGATCAAATGAACAAGAATCAAAACCAAAGTTGATTCAAAGCAGCAAAGACGCTCAGACAAGCTAATGCTGTGAAACATTACAGAAGACTAAGGCAGGGTCTTGCAGAGACCTACCTATGCATGAATTTCCAGGAAAGACAAGGTGAACAAAAGCTGAGAACAATGCACATACATAACTGGAAGCACAAAAATTCTGTGCAGAGAGTCCTCTTTTGAAAGACATAGGCAAGGGACATTCAAGCATTGCAGTTTGAATCAGATGGCTGTCCTAAACCACATTCATCCCAGGCCAAAGTGGTTTCAAATAGGATAAGGCTGAAAGAGTTCCAGTTCTTCTGCATCCCCCCCTTCCTTAGTAGTCTAAATCATTGGCTTGTGTTAAGCTACACTTCACCTCACCTCTTGATTAAACTGCTTCACTGGGCTTGATCCTGGCTTATCCACCCTTGATGGGATTCTCACCTAGATTACAAATAAGAACAGATTAGCCAGGGAGATTAACTCAGTTAGCATGCACAGACACTTTTCTTTCTTCCATAACAACCATCCACGTGTGAAAGTTTCCTCAATTATCAATTCTAATTATTCACAGGTAAGGACTAAAGGGAAAAATCTAGAGTAAACAGGAATTTTAAATTGCTATTAATGCTATTTAAATGCTATTTAATTGCTATTAATTGTCCAGAAGAAAAGGGAATATATGTTCTACTCCCTAGTTTGCCTCAGTCTGCTGCTGAGTACAGATCATCAGCAACAAGTACCTGAATGACAACTCCCATCACCGGAAGGTTCAGAGTCTGTCCTGGCACAGGAGGTGGCCACTGATCAATCTCATTGCACACTGCAAGGACACAGGTAAGGAAAAAGTTTAATCTGAAGGTCAACACAGTTAATTCAGCTGGTCCTGTGAGTTCTGCCAACTTAATTATCGCTCATTCCTGGTTCACATGTCCCTCTGGCTTAGTTACAAACACACACTTTATCAAATCATTGTGCAAGTTTAGGTCAGGCACCAAGCTTATGTTTGCACCAGCAATTCCAGCACGGGCCCAGCAGCACTATATTGTTGATAAATCACGATTAAGTTGAATAGTGCAATAAAGACCTAGAAAGAGCTGTAGCATGACAGGTTTTTTCCTCTCTCTGGGAATACATTGTGTGCAAAACTGACAGCATCATCTATTAAGGGTGTCAGACATTTCCCATTAATACATCCTTTACAGCTGTTTATGATTTTGACAAGGCAACCACTTGGATGAAAGCTTTTCCCCCGTTGGAATTTGTTCCAGACAGAACTAATTTGGAACATTTCATCTGCCTTTCAGGAAACTCCTGATAAAACCTCTCAAAAGATTTCAAATATGTAAACTTCTCCCTCCTAGATCTGACTGCTCACCTGCCTCCAGGCATGGCTCCAACTTGTCAAAGTATTCCGGAGCAATCAGTTGCAGCAAGGACTGGAACAAGTTCACATATGGAAGGCGTGACACCAGCACCAAAGACTGAAAAAAAAAAGGTACATTTAGGAGTCAGAGACCCCCTGACATGATCATTTCTAGCACTGCTTATATTTATATTGCTCACTAGAGGGCTTTACTTAAAAAAAACCATCATATCAAGAACATGAAAGAGCTCAAACCAGCACTTTTACTGCTGGAATTTTTGATAGCTGCCTAGTTGTTGAATCATCAGGCTTTGGAAGACCCTGGGTATTCACACAGGCAAGGGGGGTTTTTATTAAATAAATAAGCAGAGCTGGCAGGTTCTACCAGGGAGCCACTGCAACCGAGAGGGATGAGATTGTGACCTAGCAAAAGATCAACCAGAGGGAAAATAAACTTAAATTGCTGCTGGGTTTAAAGTTACCAAAACAACTGTATCAGAGGGAGAAGTGCAAAGGAGCAGGCTACTGAAACTGAAATTAGGTAGATAAGCAAACTAAAGGAATTCTGGGGAAGAAGAAACAAAGTGACTTGAAATGATGCTCGTTGGCTTCCAGCAGTGCCTTTTTTCCTTACTGTTTTGGCTTCTTTCTAATGCTTCTTTGTGAAATACATCACTATTTTTTACAACTTTTCCAACTCAGCCCCACTGGGGATTTTCATTACTACACTGATGATTCTCTTCCTCTCATCATTAATGAATATATTAATTAGGACCCAGTGAAAATTTCTGCAGTAGTCATTTAAACACCTCTTTTCCAACCCAAAACTTTGCCATTTGAAATAAAAAAACCAATCAAGCATGACAATATACTCCACTGAGGAATTCAAAGTGCCCACTACTTCTGTAAGTCCACCAAAGAGCAAACACATTCGCCTTCAATGGAACAAACATCTGCTCAGCAGATCTTCATGTTGTCCAGTTTCTCTAATCCTCCAGTTTTTTGAGTGATCAATCCACTGCTTTAGTGGAGATGAAGAAATCCATTTCTGCATGAGCATGTCTCTTTGAAATTAATTCCATGTCACTGCTTGGAGGTGGAGGAGAGAAAGCACAGCAGGCCAAGCAACTGCTGGGACACAATGGTGTCCCTGTCTTCCAGCAAGTTCCCAGATAGATCCACCATGAAGCATTGCTCTTTGAAGAGTAGATGTTCAAAGCTCATTTATTTCAGTTCATTTATTTTATCTTTTGATGTGGAAAAACACAACCCAAAGAGTAATTACAGAATCCCAGAATGGCCTGGATTGGAAAAGCCCTTTGAGATCATGGAGTCCAACCATGAACCCAACACTGACCAGTCCCCTATGACTAACCCATGTCCCTCAGCACTGTGTCTACACGACTCTTCAATCCCTCCAGGGATGGGGACTCCACCACTGCCCTGGGCAACCCCTTCCAATGCCTCAGAACCCTTGCAGCAAAGAAATTCTTCCTCACATCCCATCTCAACTGCCCTGGCCACAACTGGAGCCCATTTCCTCTTGGCCTGTCCCTTGGGCCTTGGTTGAACAGACCCACCCCCACCTCTCTCCACCCTCCTCCAAGGGACTTGCACAGAGCCACAAGGTCTCCCCTCAGCCTCCTTTTCTCCAGGAAATTCCATGGACTCACGAAGAAAAATAAAGTAAAATATTTTCCTTCTCTAGAAGTCCGAAATTCCATTCTTTCAGGCAGTGGCCATAAGTATTTGTCTGAGTAACACAAAGCACTTGGCATATTTATGCTGAAATAAACATGCAGTTTATATTATTTTTTCCCAGTGTCTGTGTCAAAGAAATTTCTAGTAAGAGACAAGGTTGATGAGGTACCGGCAGTGTCACTGCTGCTAGTTAGAAGCAATCAGCCCAGCAGGAAATCAAACCCCAGATGGCTGCTAGGAACAAGGAAGATTGTTCTGCTAGGAACAAGGAAGACAATAATAAGAGTAGGCTGAAGGTACAACTAGCACAGACTGCAATAACAGGCCAACCAAGGAGCAAGTGAGAGGACAAGAGGAAATGGGCTCCAGTTGTGGCCAGGGCAGTTGAGATGGGATGTGAGGAAGAATTTCTTTGCTGCAAGGGTTCTGAGGCATTGGAAGGGGTTGCCCAGGGCAGTGGTGGAGTCCCCATCCCTGGAGGGATTGAAGAGTCGTGTAGACACAGTGCTGAGGGACATGGGTTAGTCATAGGGGACTGGTCAGTGTTGGGTTCATGGTTGGACTCCATGATCTCAAAGGGCTTTTCCAATCCAGGCCATTCTGGGATTCTGTGATTCTATGGAATGAAGTATCTCCTCCCACTATCTGTGACAGCAGAATACATCCTGAAGCAAATGTTTGAGTACTTCAGGATCTCATGATTCAGACAGCAGGTCATTGCTCATGTGATTAACGCACCATGGCAACCACATCCAGGTTTGTTTGTAACGACACTTTCCACATATTCCTGTTCTCCCTGACCTCTGCTGTTTCCTGCAGAAACACTGTGGGTGTCACGTAGGAAGTGGTGCTACTTTACAGCTATGGATAGGTGCCTTTTTACAACTCCATACCAGTTGAGAGTAGCAAGCTATCTGGTTTCAGTACTCACCTTCTGAAAATAACCTCTCTTCATGGAGCTGTCCTTGACTTGCCTGAAGTACACGTAACCAAAGTAATGAGCTGACTCCCGCTGCAAGAGAGACCAACAAACCTGTTATTGAGAAACCCATCACTGCTATTGACAAACTCCCTCCAGCCACGGCCCAAACAACATCCCTCACTCCTGCTAGATGCCACTACAGCACTCCCTCCCATTGACCAACGTTATCCCTGCTCAGCTGTCTGGGAGAGTTTACCAAATGGGAAGATCGTGAGGAGATACAAACCACTAAATTCACCAAAAAATACAGCCTCCAGCTAGCACCTTTCACTAGCCCCTTTCTGCAACCCCTTAAGGGCCAGCATCTCTCGTCAGATCAAGAGCAGCCCTGAGGAGAAGGACTTGGGGTGCTGGGGGAGGAGAAGCTGAACATGAGGCGGCACCGTGCGCTGGCAGCACAGAGGCCAATAACCGTGTCCTGGGCTGCACCCAGAGCAGCGTGGGCAGCAGGTGGAGGGAGGGGATTCTGCCCCTCTGCTCCGCTCTCCTGACACCCCACCTGCAGTGCTGCCTCCAGTGCTGGGGCCACCAACAGCACAAGGACATGGAGCTACTGGAGCCAGTGCAGAGGAGGCCACCAGGATGATGCGAGGGCTGGAGCAGCTCTGCTGTGAGGACAGGCTGAGAGAGTTGGGGCTGTTCAGCCTGGAGAAGAGAAGGCTCCAGGGAGACCTTCTAGTGGCCTCCCAGTACCTGAAGGGGCTCCAGGAAGGCTGGGGAGGGACTTTAACCAAGGGCAGGGAGTGACAGGACAAGGGGTGATGGCTTGAAAGTGGCAGAGGGGAGATGGAGCTGAGATGTGAGGAAGAAATTGTTTGTTGTGAGAGTGGTGAGCCAGTGTCCCAGGTTGTCCAGAGAAGCTGTGGCTGCTCCTCCCTGGAAGTGTTTGTGGCCAGGTTGGATGAGGCTTTGAGCAACCTGGTCTAGTGGAAGGTGTCCCTGCTGCTGGCATGGGGGTTGGAACGGGGTGAGCTTTCAGGTCCCTTCCAACCCAACCCAGTCTGGGATTCTGTGACTCTATCTAAAGGGTTAATCGAGGTTTTCACTAACACAACCAGCTGAGCCAACCCTCTGAGCTCATCCTGGCACCCCAAGCTGCCACTTATGTGCTCTGTCAGTTTTCTCCACCAGCTAGAGGATATTGTATTGTTGAGGAAGGAATACATCCTCTTCTGAGAGGACATGTCCTCTACCATCCCCGTTACATTCCTCTGTAGTCAGCCATTTAAGGCGGTATCGGTCAAACTCAGCTCAGGAAGAAGCACAAAGCTGAGTGATGCTTCCTTCATAGCACCCACAAAACTAACAGATTTAATAAAAATCCACAGCCATCACTTCAAACATGCTCTGCCCTCTGAGTTCCCACAGACATTAAGGAGGAAGGACACTTATCAGTGCTGAACACAAAGACCAACCTTAACACCATTTTTTGAAGCCTCACAGGCCCACGGTTTCAGGCACCTTTCTCTTCCCAGATATTATTTGTCCACATCAGAATCCTGTACTTTGGCAGTTTTCCTTCCCTTTCTTCTTTACAGCTAGGTGAGGGTGTGAGACTGTGTCCCATTGCTACAAAGCAGGGAAGATGTCTACAAGCTGAAAAATCTCTAGACCAGAATTTAGGAAGAGAAATCCTCCTACTCCCTCTCAGAGCAGGAATCCATTTCTGGATTGTGTATCCCAAAAACATATCACAAAAAGATTGCAGAAGTGTTAAAAAGGCACAGGCAGAGGAAGCATCATCTCAAAGGAGAAAGCAGAAGAGGACAAGTCGATCTGACGGCCATCTGCTCAATTAAATTAAACAACAGTGCTGAGCACATCCCTTCTCTGCATGAAATGGACAGTTCAGAGACACTCCTGACATCAGTGCTTGGGTACAGATAAACCAGCCCGCACTGAGCAAGCCAAAGGGTGGATCTGTGCTGTGACCATTGTTCTGGCTGGTTTTATACACACACAGATCCTGCAACAAACTAAAAGGACTGTCATCCCTCAACAAAAGTATAAAAAGGATCTAAAGCTGCTGGAGAGTGTCCAGAGGAGGGACACAACATTGGGGAAGGGCTTAGAGGGGAAGGGTGTGAGGAGAGGCTGGAGTCACTTGGTTTGTTCAGCCTGGAGAAGAGGAGACTGAGAGGAGATCTCCTGGGGGTCTAGAACTTCCTCCCCAGGGGCAGAGGAGGGGCAGGCGCTGATCTCTTCTCTCTGGCCTCCAACACCAGGAGCAGAGGAAATGGCAGGAAGATGTGGCAGGGGAGGGTGAGGTTGGCCATGAGGAAAAGGTTCTTGAGGCACCCAGAGGGTGGTGGAGCACTGGAACAGGTTCCCCAGGGAGGTGCTCATGGCACCAAGCCTGACAAGATTGCAGCAGCATTTGGCCAAGGCCCTGAGGGACATGGTGTGAATGTTGGGATTGTCCTGTGCAGGGACAGGAGTTGGACTGGATGATCCTGGTGGGTCCCTTCCAACTCACAATGTTCTGTGATTCTGTGAAAAGAGCTAAACATCTAATTTGCCACAGACAAGGATGTTGTTGTCCTGCCTCATGGAAACATGCACAGGTAGCCGTGCACTCTGTTGGATGTCACCTGTGGGCCACCATTTGTCTTTTCCCTGTAGCCAGACATGACCACTGCTCTAATCTGGGGTCCCCTTGATTTAGTTTCATCTCCCAATATGAGGCTGGTGGATCATTGGAACAGGTTGCCCAGCAAGGTAGTGGAGGGCCCATCCCTGGAGATATTCAAGGTCAGGCTTGATGGGGCTGTGAGAAACCTGCTCTAGTGAAGATGTCCCTGCTCACTGCAGGGGGGTTGGACTAGATGATGGGGTTGGACTGGTTGGTTCCTTCCAACCCAATGCACTCTATGGTTCTCAGAGTAGCTGGGACTCTCACCATGGCCTTCTATGAGTATTAAGGTAGAAATAAGTCCCTGTGCTGAAAGCTTTAACTTTTCTGACTATGGCCAGAGAAAATGAGTATTTTTATGCACAGAAATCAAAAGTCTATTTGGCTTTTAACACAACACCACTATTGTTTGCCCAGCAGGTATAAACAGAGCACTGAAACACAACTGACCTGCAGCGTTAGGGGCGCTTCTCTGTTGTACGCGCCATCGTCCTCGTAATGAGCGGTCCTCTGTCCCCCCGACTGACGAAGGCGGAAGCTAAATTGAGTATCCCCCAGGCCACCTGAGACAGAGAGGATCACAGGAAGGAAGCTCAGGAAAGAGAAAGCTGGAAAATGGTTAAAACTGAAATGCTGACATCAACAGGGATGGTGATTCACAAGGAACTCCAAAACTGAACATGGAGAGTAAGAGCAAAAAGAAACCCTCAAACCCCAGCGCAAGACAGGAGGAGACCACAGCTGAACACAAGAACTGGTATCACTAAGCTAAACCCTGCCAGGCCATTGCTGGGGCACCTACAGATGTGGGCCAGTATCATACTGGGGCCAGTCCTGTTGAACATCTTCATCCATGGTC